CCCCAAAACCCCAAAACCCCAAAACCCCAAAACCCCTAGGAGTTGTTAGAAAATTGAAATTTGAAGAAGAAATTAAAGTTATATAACTTTATTTAAATAGCAAACCATATTCGAATGCTCCATAGACTATTTACAAGAAGGATCTCTTCCACACATCGTGCTGGAAAAAGATTCTTGAGTGCTAGCCAGGCGGCACAACCAGCTTCCTCTGCTAATATTATCAGAGGGAATTCTGAGTTTACAGATCCTCAGAGATACTTCGAGGACGACGACAAGACAGGAATCGTAGTCACTTTGAAAGATAAGAAAGACGCTCTGGAGAAGGCTTTAGGAGTCTTTGACAAGTATGGGGTCAGTCTGAGCCATATCCAGTCTAAGCCATCCAAGTTATGCGAGAAATCCAAGGCTTATGATTTTTATCTAGACTTTGAGAGACCGTTCACCGATATGTGCATCAGAAATGTCATTAGTGACCTATCAAAGATTTCTAAGAACTTTACTATTGCTGATCCTTCTGAAGTGTCATGATTCCCTACTAGCTTCTATGATCTGGACAAGACTGGGAAGAAGATCCTGAGTGAAGGAGACGGTATCCATGAAGCCGATCACCCAGGATTCAGAGACGAGGAGTACAAGAAGAGAAGAGATTTTATATCAGAGCTAGCTCTCAAATACGAAATGAATGATAAGGAAATACCAAGAGTGGAATACACTGATGCTGAAGTGGGAGTATGGCAGCACTGCTACTCTAAGTTCAAGAAGAATTACACAACAGGAGCTGTAAAAGAGTTCAATGAGGGTCTTGCTCAAATGGAAAAATATTGTGGATTTTCTGAAGACAATATTCCACAGTTAGAAGATATTTCACAGTATTTGATTAGCAAAACAGGCTGGAGAATCAGACCTGTAGGAGGACAGCTGAGTCAGAGAGACTTCTTAAATTGATTGGCATTTAAAGTGTTTCCCTCGTCTCAATATGTTCGACATCATTTAGTTCCAGAGTATACACCTGAACCAGATGTCATTCACGAGGTGATGGGGCATGTACCAATGTTCGCTAACGAACATTATGCTGATCTTTCTCAAATGATCGGACTTGCATCCCTAGGATGCCCAGATCATTATCTCTCAAGACTAGGCACTTTGTATTGGTTCACCATCGAATTTGGTCTCTGCATGGAGGCAGGTAAGAGAAAAGCTTATGGTGCAGGCATTCTCTCTAGCTTCGGTGAGTTTGATTGGTGATTTTCACAAGATAGGAATGCTCCTAAATTCTTTCCATTCGATTGTGAAGAAATTGCTGAGAACCATGGAGGCTTCCCTAATAGCTCAGTACAACCCTACTACTTTATCTCAGAGTCGTGGGAAGATGCAAGAAAGAAGATTGGAGAGTATTGCGACTCAATCCCAAGACCGTTTAATGTCTCCTACAATGAAGAGACTCAGACTATCGAAGTGGATAGAAAAATCAAAGGATCTTACTAAAACTATAAAGACAATGAACTATTGTTTTAAACTTTCAAAAACCATTTATTTTTTTGGGGTTTTGGGGTTTTGGGGTTTTGGGGTTTTGGGG